TCTGGGAGGGACCTATAGCTTCTTTCACACTTTTCGAGGGAAAGAAAGAAGCGGAGATTGAGAATGACATAACTTTTCTCATTCTTTTGAATAAAGCATTTTTAAAAACAAATCAGTCAGTTTACCATTTCACAGAAAAGCCTCGGACAGAAGGTGCCAGGTGTACGTGAATGCACAAATGACCCCGCTTTGTTTGTCAAGCATCTTGACAAGAATGTTGTGTGCAAGATAGAAATAGAAAATATTTGTTCACCTCCGCCAAGATATTAAACCATTTGTGAAACACAAACAACGTCTCGTCGATTTCACACTGCCCCCTCATTTATCAACATTTGCTCAGTGTTAAAGTTTGCTCTTCTGGCCTTCACTATCAGCCTATCTTTTTATCACGCACTTGTGCCTTCTGCATCCGATTCGGGTGTTGCTAAGCCGTCTTTTTGTCAGATAGAAGCGAACCAACGAAGCCGTATCTTCTTTTCCTATGTCACCGATCGTGTGGCCCCGTTATCAGCGTTTGGCACATCACTCTTTTCCCCTTAACGAAACGCGCCGTCAAACCCGCATTTTACTCCCCACCAAAAAAATTTATGTCTATTCCTTATCACAAGCTTTTTGCTTCCTCTTCCGTCTCACCAATCATCTGGTATGAAATAACTCATAGGCTTAGGGAAGCTTTGCGTTTCATGCCACATCTTTTTAGCTTCCCTCAGCGCTGGAATTTATTGTGCTCTGAAGAACAAAAAAAATTGCTTTTAGAAAAGAGCGAAGGTGCAGGAATCGAAGATCCCTCCGAAACTTTTTTGTATTTGCTTACATTTCTGTGCTACTCTTCTGCTAATAAATTCATATTTTCAATGTTTTAGATGCCTTTGCATACATAAAAAGCATAAAAAGAAGAAGAAAGATAATACGTCAATCATTTGCAATCGCGATCTTTGCACTTGAATAAATGGGTCGTTCCATAAGTTCATAGCGTTTTCATTCTAATCCTCGTTTTTTTAAGAGGAGGTTGTTTAGCGACAAAATGCTTACGTCATTCGAAAAGCTCTTAATCATGCTCTTTATAATCAACTTGTTAATTTTGAAACCTGATCGCCTCCATTTCACAAAGATGGAATCCCAGAAAGCCAGAAGAAACACTCTCAACACCTGCTCATTTTGCTACCTTTTCTTCAAAGAAGAACTTCGCTTAGATTTTTTGCCATCATGGCAAACGGCGTTTGCCCGTTACTATGAGACAAAAGGAGTTTGTATGCTCCAAAAAAGGGTTGTACAGGTGTCCAGTAATCAGAACTTTTCTTGGGACGCTCAGGACTGAAAAATCTCGACAAGAACAAAACGGTTAACCACATTTTAAACAGTCCAAGTGTACCTCCACACGAATTCTCACAGCAAGAAAGGCCAAATATGATTGAATTTTCTGCATGAAAATATTAGGTTGTTAAATAAGTTTTGTTACACTTTCTTCGTCTTCCTCTGGAAAACTCTAGAAAATTCGGCAAGATCTCATATTAGGCATACATGGGGAGAGGATGAAGGGCTATCCGCTGGCATCATTTATGCTCTCACCACATGACTTACAATAAATATAAAGGCAATTTCATAAGGGCCCTTCAATCTCCATTTTTTTATTTTCTAAAAAAATCTCTTATTCTTCCTTTCCAACTTTTTAGATTTTTTATGGACTCCAAGGAGCATTAGCAGTAACCATTGGGCAATTTGGAAGTTCAAGCTCTTAATTAACCAAAATTGGAAGTTTGAAGAAATAAATCGAAAAAATTTCAGAAATTTCGAAAATTTGATTTTTATGTGTGGCATGTATAAATCAAAAATCTGCACCTTTTACAACCTTTTACATAGTTAGGAGATGAGGAAAAATCATTTGACAAAGTTATGAGGATTTTTTCGGTTGAGTGTACCAAAACTTATGTGACAACCTAATAATGTGGCTCTGTACGGCAACGTTGTCAAATCAGTCCTGCAAGTTACTGAAAGATACGTCAATATTTACTGTACTCCTCAGACCTCGCTTCACCAAATGGTCATTTGTCCCGTTCTCTTGCAAATCATATGAGTGGTGTTTGTTTCAGTTCTGTAGACGATCCCGTGAGCTGGTCAGAAGAGGTTTTGAGATCAGAACCGCTTAGTTTTGGAAAAACGTAGTTGAAAATCTGACAGTAAGGTGCTCGAAGGTTCACATCACGCGAACATATAAGGAGACAAAGATTCGCCATTTTGTGAATCTATGAAAACGCTAAGAACTTATGGAACCATCTAATAGTCCATCTGCACGCTTTTACAAAATAAGCGCCGATCACAAAGTGAAGGTCAGACTTTGCGCACGAAGTCAAAAACTTTACCTGATCAGCTTGCCTGGTGAATAGCAAGAATTGCTTGTTTGCGCTTATAGTAGAATTTCCTGGTTCTTATCAATGCAGCTGTTTTTTTCTTATGCAGACATGCGTTCGAAATGCGATTATTATAGTAGAAAAACTATAGATTCTAAAAAAGCCTCTGCAATTTTTTTGGGCCTTCTTAGTTCCGCTCACATTCAATCTTTCCTTAGATTTTTTTGCTGTTCCTCTTCTTTCATATAAAGGGATATTCTCTTACTTTTGATTTTGCTTATTTTGATTTGAACAACCAAAACAATAACATAAACAAGACCACATAATCAAATAGGGGCTAGAGATTTATATAGATGACAATCATTACATGAAAATTACAAACTTATTGAAATGATTTGACATGTCATAGATTTTACTTCTCTCAAGTAATAATGGCGAAGGCTTCCGCGACAGCTTCAATGTTCGAATCGAAGTGAGTTCGCTAATGAAAGACATCTGCGATCTCTGATTTCCACCGACTTGGTGGTCACTCACCGAAATCTTTGAGTCTTTTTCGCTTGAGGGTCTCGAAACGATTCAGACTAGCCCAGAATTTGTTCATATTCTGTTCTACAATGTAGTATTTATAATTGGTGCTTATATCATTCAAATGTGCAAGCTTACTTTGTATGAATAGATCATAGCTACCACGTCCTTTTCTTTTTTCACAGTGCAAGATAATCAAATTTCGCGGAAAATTCAATAGTAAAAGTTTAGAAGAATTATTTCAGTTTAGTAGTTTTTTCGCTGAATGGCTGTTTCTGATTCGAGTGTGCATGCACGAGAAATACGGAGCGTGCAGAAGACTGATGTTAGCATCGACTGTATTGATTTCATTGATTTTTTTTTACACTGTTCATCCCAAGAGGCTCAAATATTTTACGTAGAGGTTCTGTAGCATGCTTACGAAAATGATAGTCTCAACTTTTGGTAACGCCTTCTTACATCAGTTTCTTGATTTTCACGATGATAGCACCGTACTGCTACCGTAGCCCCGCTGTGGTACAGTAGTGAACAAGATGGATATTACAATCGTAATCAGCACGTGAAATAACCCCAAGACACTATTTTCACAAAAATTCGTGATGTTGGGTTCGTACAGATGCCAAAAACCGAAACAAATCACATTTTGATAATCAGCGCCTTTGATAACCTTGCTGGGGAAATTGTCGGAGACATGTTTTGGATTCTTCCCCAAAAGAATACTATTTCGGAAAATATGACCCACGTGTGGGTCGAAAGTTTGAAAAAGCAAAAAAGGCTTTAGTCCGATACGGCAGAAATCTAAGAAGCGACGATGTTTCAAACACTATCAAATATTTTGCTTTAGTTTTTAATGTGTTTTTAGAGCAAAATTTTTAGAATCTGACAAACACTTTTACCGCCTTGAATGATTGATGATGTGATTAGAATTACGCGTTGGACCCATGTCAATTTGATCGTTTTTATTGTTTCAGGCTTTTTTTGTGAATTTGCTCAGAATTTTGTGTATCTCCATTTTTGCTAGAAAAGCATTTTACTCAGTATGAATGGTCTTACCTTTATTTTTGCTTTTTTGCAGAGATGAATAAAATTATTTTTTTTAGTCAAGAATGTTTAGCTTTGCAGTTTTTTAGGACTTCAATACCTAACTCGTTTTCGACTTGCACTCAAATTCTCCGTTATCATTCTTATCGCAGTTCATACTGCAACGCTTATCGCAAGTGCATCGGTAGCAAACAAAAAGTAAAAAGGGAATTCTGAACATTTTTTCCACTTCCGACTGCCTGACCTATTTGTAAAATGTACAATGTACAATTTTCATCTGTTAAATAAATAGAATAAATAGCGAATAATATAACTGATAATAATTAATATTAAAATAAATAAATAATAATAATAAATTAATAATAGTAAAATAATTAATAATAACTAAATAAATAAATAACGAACAGTGAATGCGGGGTTACTCCGTAAAAGAAACAGTCTTTTTGAGAATTTCAAGTTAACTATTAGGTGTTTAATCTAGAAATTTTTGAGTGATATCGGCAAGATTTTTGAAAAAAAATTGAAAAATTCAGCATTTCCCAAAAACTTCAGCATTTTGCAGAAATTTACTTGCAAATTAGTTTGGAAAGATCGATATGAAGGACAATATAAGGAATTTTATTATGAAACAAACACTTGATGGATTTTCAGAGACTAAAAATATCTTATTTAAAGCATGATTTTGGGCTGTTATAAGACGATGTACTGCTTGGTAAGCAAAGAATTTGCAAAGAAATTTTTTTTATTTATATAAGCTCCACTGGATATGGAAGAATGAGCAATTCTCGCTAAATTAGCTCGAATTCCTTTTGCGAGATACATGATTTGACTCCCATCATGGACAAGACCTATGTCTTATCTCGTAACTTCCACTCTTCCCGACATTAACGATCTTTGAAAGTTGATCCCACGTTTGGTTTAGCGATTGTCGTAGAAGCTGAACAGACAGATTTTTTTGCCGGGAAGCTGCCGCTGCACATTCTTATCTACAATTCTTCTTAGTCATGCAAACCTCACACATTTCTCATGTGCATTGACCACTGAAAATTGTTAACCCACGTACTCATTTGCTTAGGGCATTTGCAAATGCTCTACTTGATCGCCTTCTTGATATGGGTCACAAGAGGTGATGCTACGGAGACCACAGCGTTGCCTCCCACCGCTTTCACTGGAGGAGACCTCGAAGTCTGTCAAATATGGAAGAATATGACAAAGGAAGGTACGTCTAGCATGCGTTTGGTGTCTTGGTTTACAGATTCGGGAGGCTCAGCTACATTGATAAGGGAAAGGAGCAGTGGTGCTTTTAGGTGCGTTCGGTGCGACTGCACCCATTCCAGCTATGCTTTGAAGACAATGTCTACTCAGAGCGTTTGAGACTGATAGAGAATTCTAACCAGTGTAAGAGTGCTTACCGCGCCGGTAGGGTAGCCGGCCAGTTAGCCGTTAGCCGCCGAAGTGCAAATGAGAGCGCAAAATCATCAGATTTTCACTATGTTTCAATGCATCCGCCTGCGCTTCTCATCTTCCACGCTTTTTATTCTCGCTCAAGTACAGTCTGACTCTCATGCATCACCTTTGTATTCGTTGTCATTATCTGGTTGCGAAGCTTGGTATGCAATTGGTGCACAATTTCTCTGCTAACCATTTTGAAAGATCTTGATAGAATGACAGACATAAAACACACGCCACACTTATTCTCCTCCGCCTCATCTTCTTCAAAACAAAACTCGCATCTTTGAACGGCATATATAGTTATCTTCGCATGAGCGAATGAACTGTTGAAGAGCATTCGACACAGAGTGGATGGTGAAGGAAGCGATTCTTAACGCTGGTCATTGATAGAAAGCAGAGTCAAACCCGGAGGCGAATTTCAAGCTACAAACAAACGGCATGAGATAAATAACTTCTAAATTATGATGAGGATTATACGGATGCGGGGAGGGTAAAAATATGTGGTCTAAATAAAGCACTTTAGAGAAACAGATGCGTTGCAAAAGCAATGTCATAGAGAAAGGATGTAAAACACACTTGAAGACTTCAAGCTCACTCAATCGGAGGAGTGAAGGCACTCCAGATAGTCAAGGATAACATTCGTAATCGAAAAATTGCCCACCGATAGCATATTCAAGCTTTCACGTCAGGCAGATGATGACGACAATAAATCCAAAGAATATAGTTAAAACATTGGCGAGAATTAAAAAAGCATGGAATGAGAGGCGTAGGCGGATATGTTGAAGTGGAGAAAACTGATGATCTCCCTTTCACATAATAAAAAAGTGGCGATTTGGCGGTGGTTTGCAGTCGCTTTTGCCGCTTTTGCTCTGGTTTTGCAGCAAAAGCACAAGGTCAGGCTGATGTTTCTGGCGCGCAGCGCCAAAGCGTATCAACCTGGTTATTTGGTGCTTTTTGTGTTTTTTTTTCACGGGCTAAATGAGAGTATGTTTGGAGTTGAGCAAGAGGTCAGGCATAAGCCTTTGAAAATCCCATGAAAGCCTTCCCCCTATGAAAGCCCTAAAACGACCCCTTCTTCCTTCTTTTGCCTCCGGAACTTCAGAGTGTCACATTCTGGACGACATCAAACTTTTCCAGAAAGTTTCCAGATTTCTGAAAACTGTACGCCCGCGCAAAAAGCTCAGGCAGCCTGACCTTTTGAGGGTTGCGCCTGACCCGATTAACTTTATCATCGAAGAAGCTCATAATAGTTCCATAATAGTTTCATATAACTCGCTAACATAAACCTCAGAGATTCTGCAACAGGTTTTTGAGCTTACCTCAACTTGTTTTGGCTTTGAGGTGATCGGTGGAGTTGAAGCAATCGAGGAAGAAAACGCGGTGACTAACATTTTGGTGCACTTCTTAATCCATTGTTAGAAAGCAATATGAAGTTTAATATCTACCATAAACTGATAAAGAGTAATAATTCATTAAGAATACAAAAAAGCTGGCTTCTTTCACTTTTGTGACCAAGTTAACACGTTGACGACGAACCATTTTTTTGAGGTCTGTCCCTGTGGACGAGACGTTTCCGTGCATCCCTACGCCTGGCAGCATGTACAGTCGAGTAGATTTAGCGGTAAATGTAGTGTGCTTGCACAGAAGGTGAAATGCGGTAAAATTGGCGCGTGAAGAAATAGTTTCGACTGTGATGCCGGCCAATTGCACGCGCAAGATACCCGCACTACTGACGTGGCTACTTGCTCACGCGCAAATTTCACCGCATTTCACCTTCTGTGCAAGCACACTATATTTACCGCTAAATCTACTCGACTGTATGTATGCATGCATCCATGCACGAAATATAAATTTTGCAAGCCCCGCTCCATGTGGCAAGCTCCGCCCACTTGGCCGAAAATGACGGAAATTGCCCAAATTTTAAGACTTCATGAGAATTCCGCCACTTTTGAAAAGTGGGTGGAGCTTGCCACTTAGGGGGCGGAGTTTGCCTGGCGGTAGGCGGGGCCTGAAAGTTGCTTGAAGTCTTTGCGTTCATCTACGGCCTCATCCATACTTTTATGAGCAAAAACTGTCCTTGTGAGAGCATAGGAGTGGGCGGAGTTTGCTAAAAGGGACGGGGCTAACTTATGAAGTACGTCTGAGCCTATGTTGATTATATGAATGAAAACTGAGAGGATTGGACCGATAGTATTGAAGTTAAGGCCGCGCGCACCATTGCGCTGCGTCGCGTCCACGGAGACAGACTGCCTGCCACCACCATTGCGCGGCACTGTCATCAACGTGTTAATCATGTTTGAAAATCACGCTGTTTAGACGTTAGGAAACATTAGAAAATTGATTTGTAAAGCTCGTTGAAGTAATTTGGCATGCTGATTACAGAAATCACACCTACTTTACACAAATAGCTTCTTTGGTGGCCTTATGGTTGTGTGAGGCAAGAAATTGAACTTGAAACTTCGTTAGTCGAATCGGTAGCATGTTTACAACAGTCAGTTCTCCGGTGGAGTTGTGAGATTCATTGTTGAGCGCTTTTCTTCTTCACCTTACTCGAGCGAGTAATTCCTCAACTTTTTGAACAATTTCGCTTCTTAATTGCGACCCTCCCCCCTCTGCTCTTACCCCAAAACGACCCACCAGGACGGGCGCGTCTGACGCCACGCTCAATCCTGGTTACGTTTTTCTTGAAAACTGGTTGCTACAAAATCTGGCACATCGCCGTTGTTGAAAGATACGAAGAGGTATCGTTTACCAGCTGGAGTTTCCGAAGTGTTATTTTTATGTTTCTTTATTTCTTAACGCTCACATTCCATGCTTCTTGTAAGTGATGCGATTTTATCCGTGGTGATGCTGATGATCATGGAAGAACACCGCATCACCAACAATGGTAACATGAGTGTAAACCAAAAGACAAAAAAGAAAAAGTTGCAGAAAGCGAACAATACTTCAGGTATAATAGGTAACGTGTTACGCTCAAGTTTCATATTTGCTGTAGATGACGGGTAGTTTTCCATGCTTACTGTTTCACCATGAACTTGCACAAATGATTTAGCAACATCACATCTTATATATAAAGCTGAATGTCTGTTTGTCTGTCTGTCTGTATGTCTGTCTGTCTGTATGTCTGTCTGTACGTATGTTCCGAATAGAAAATTCCATTTCTTAACCGATCCGGACCAAACTTGGCACACATACACTTCGGGCCCTGGCGGGTGTCATAGGCTACTTTTCGTCATCGATCGATATTGATTTTATCGATTTTTTGCAAAATTTGAGCTACAGGGCTGGGAGTTGGCACAGGGGGGTAATCGAGCATGCTGATCACCCCCGTGGGGGTGATCAGCATGCTCGATTACACCCCCTGCCAAATTCCAGCCCCCTAGCTCAAATTTTGCAAAAAATCGATAAAATCGAATTCGATCGATAACGAAAAGTGGACTGTGGCACCCGCCGGGGCCCGAAGTGTATGTGTGCCAAGTTTGGTCCGGATCGGTTGAGAAATGGAATTTTCTATTCGGAACATACGGCGGAGCCGGGTAAGCCAGCTAGTTTTGCTATAAAACCTTTACCACAAGGAAGCATGGAACGTGAGCATTGAACAATAGATAACATAAATAATGATTTCGGGAACTCCAGTTGAGTGGTCGATACTATACTTTGATCTGAATCGAATGAAAGTTCAATTACTCGAATGCGCATCAGTTCGCTTTCAAAAATTAAAATTCGGAGTTGTCCGTTTTTGATAGAATTTGAGTTTTCGAATAGTCGAAAAGCGGGGTTTCGTATGAAATTTGAAAACTCGAATAATAAAAAAATAAAACTTGAAAACTGAATTATAGGAAACCGAGATCCCGAATATTATTGCAGTGCCTTATTTAAACGTTCCATTTGAATTCGTGTTCAAATAAAATTCGTATTCGAATAATTCGAGTTCGATGCAAAGCCACATCCAACCGAGCAGGGTATGTCTGCAATCTGGATATGATCGCTGAACATTTGAATAAACCATTCAAATGTTTATGTATTCGAATGATTTATATGATTGGATACTTATTCGAACAAATCATTCGAATACTTATTCGAAATCCGAACCTCAATGTTCGAATATAATCGATATTCGTTCACTCAAAATTTTCAATTTTCGCATTTTATTTGATTTTCATTCGTTGAAAACCTTCTGATTTCAACTTTAGTCGATATTATTATTCACCTATTCAAGCACTTATTCAAACCTAATTTTTTAATATTACTCGATATTTCTTGTTCGCATTTTTTTTGAAATCGATATTTGTTTACCGATGAAGAATTTCAAATTTCACGGGGTATAGTTGATACCCCTTTTGCACCTGTGAACAATGGCAATGTGTTATGTCTTGTAGCCAACAGTTTTCAAAGTGTCATACTTCCAAGCCCCGCCTATAAAAGCGGCAACCGGTGTGGTCTGGATACTCCCTTAGGCCGTAGCTCAAACGTTCCATGTGGCCAAGATATACTTCAAACTCTCGTCCATGCCGCTCGCTACCGCACTCGATGACACTACTGCTGCTGACTCAGAAGGACTAGGGTTTGAGTAAAAGTGTGAACTGAAAACTCTTTCTTACTAACTGATCCGTGAACCGTTGGGAAAGGGCTGAGTTCAAGCCTACCCATCAGCATCTACATAAGCGATGCAGATAATCAATTTTCCCTAGTTGCCTTTGAGCTCCTTTGCAAAATGTTCTTATCATATAGTCTCATGTTTTTTTGCGTAATAAGTAGCTTCGTGTAAGAGACCAGAAGGCAGAGCTTATTTTTTTGTTGTTATCACATCCCTTCTTTGACTGTCAACATAATCTTTCTTTCTAGCTGTTTGCGACTACATCAAGTATCAAAAAGACATTTGTGAAGGAGGTGGTTATCTACAGTGGTCTCAATACGTCGAATGCGAGTTTAGCACTGCCAAGAAGGTCTGTGAAGATTCGTTATTTTCTTAACAGGGAGCCGTAAAGGGTTTGCAAGGTTCAAGAATTACCTCTTAAGGACGAGCTTGACTAGCTTTCATTCTAATTCTGAAAGTGACACCAGGCTCTAAGACATTGGTCAACAATGTCCAAAAACTTTATTTCGGGAAAATCCCCATTTGACCCTTTTGCATGTCTTGTCTGTCTATGACTTTCGTCTACGAAGGAAGGTCCTCTTTGCAATTGCTCTTTCGATTCCCAACGGCGCTACCTTCACGCTTTGGCCACTTTCCCTTCCTCTGCCGATATCTATATAATGCGCATTTTTTTCGCAAAAGTTGAGGAGACGAATGGTGTGATAGTGTTAGATCATTACATAAGTTTAAGCACACTTGAAGCTAAAAGTCTCCTAACTCCATTGAAAAATTATCCTCCATATTAGAATTACGGGATGCAAGCTCTGTTGTATAGATTATACATCTCAAACACAAAAAAAAATTCACTTTTTGAATTTTATAGCAAACTACCAACTTGTGTTATTGAGGAGCTTGTTCCAAACTTTTTATGTTAGCAATGATGTTCTGAAACTCCATTTAAAATCCAAGAAGCTAAAAATGAAGAAATTTTTGAGAGAAAAAAGGTACTTTTTGTCACGTGAAACCATTTTATCTTGAGAAAAAGTTATCTAAACCATCCGCAGAAAGGAGCGTCAAACTCTTGCAACATTTAAATTTTATATATTAGGTCGTCCCGAAAGTATTTTCGCTTTATTCAAACAATCGCCACGCTCCGCAGAACAGACATCTTTAGAAGGTCTTGGAAGCATTCAATGCAGTTTTTTATGCTCTTTCAAATGGTCATCTTTATATTGCAGTCTAACAAACGAGCTCTCAGAAAATTACCAAAAACTGCGACCCACACTTTTTATCAAGGTCAAGTTTCACTATTTTTCTAAATTCTTATACTGATTCTCCGAAGAAGCCCAAGTAACCTGCGGATAGAGCAAACCAAGTGGGATACAAAACAATTTCTTTTTCCTTCCCAGACCTCTCCATAATTTTTTGACAAAATTTCAAACAACAGTATCGAAATTTAGCAGACCCATACCAGACGAACACTCGTCAAATCTAAGAAATTCTCAGTTTTTGATAGTTTGAAAGATAGATCAAGATTCATTACTAATTTTGCAAGACAAATGAGCGTTTCCAGGTGCGAAATATCAGATTTTGAATTTTTCCATCTTAGGGCGCCATCAAAAACATGAATTTTGTCGATTTTGTCCTCTAAAACTTTACGAATCAGAAACAAAAAACATGTCTCTGAAAGAGGAGAAGGTGCTGCATCGAATAACATCCGAGTTGCTTCCCGAGTGATGCTCTATGAGGTTCAGGTTGACGAAATATAGAATTTGATAGCATCAAAAAAATATTTCTAAAAATTTTGTAAAGTTAGATTTGGAAGGGGCGGAAATTGTTTTGTATCCTACTTGGTTTGCTCTATCCGCAGGTTACTTGGCCTTCTTCGGAGAATCAGTACGAGAATAGAAAAATAGCGAAACTTGACCTTGGTAAAAAGCGTGGGTCGCAGTTTTTGGTTATTTTCTAAGAGCTCGTTCGTTAAACTGCAATATAAAGATGACCATTTGAAAGAGCATAAAAAACTGCATCGAGTGATTGCAAGATCTTCCAAGGACGTTTGTTCTGCGAACCGTGGCGATTCCTTGAAAAAAGCGAAAATACTTTCGGGACGACCTAATATTATCTGCATTTTGACAGGTTTTACGTCTTTCGCCTCTAACGTCCACGATTACTCGTCGTTGGTGGCTGCGCCCACAAGATTTAAGCGCCTTGCGACCTTTACGCCGCTTGTCATACGTTGGTGGTCTTCTTTGAGGATGTTTCGCTTTGCGAGAAATCCACTTTGATGCTCCTCGTGTCCATTTATCGTCTGTTCTTCTCATGATGTGACCGACTTATCGATGCTTCGCTTTCTCGACGTAGTCCGCTAGATTAGGAAGACGGAACAATCTTCTTATTTCGGACCGCGAAGTCCGAGTCCGACGAAGTACTGTCGGGTTAGTCCAAACGCTCAAACGGCGGTTTCTAGAGTTTCAACTCGCCTACAGAAACAGCTCAGTTCTGCTGTGCATGAGGTGCAAGAGGTGGGAGAAGAGCTGAGTTGAACAGATGGGCACAAAGCTCCGACATCTACTCAGATGATCGCCGGGGGCAGGCGGCCATGCGGATTTTGGGCAAGCGGGCACCGGAAAAATAATTCGTTGATTTTTTGAGGTTCGTTTGCAAATATCTATAATATAAGAATGTTGGACAAATTTTAGACGAATATTCGGAGAACGATTGCGGTTTTTTATAGATTAGTTGCGTCCACTGTAGGAGAATATGCAAGATTGTTGAAGGCCGCACGGTCCTTCGTGAAGGACCGCACAGCCAGTAGTACAGTCGACTAGAATTCCAGCTTAATATAGTGTGCTTTGGAAGGAAATTAATAGGCATCTCTATCATGGAGACGTCTTCTTACGTGTGTCTCGGATGTTCGATGAACATGGGGAACGACTTGAGGGAAGAACTTAACAAGAGAAAAAGAGCAGCCTGGGCCGCCTTCGGGCCTCTGAAGGAAGCCACCGACCAACTGACGGACCCGGGGCTTCGTGCCCACCTGTTCGACTCAACCGTTCTCCCGGCGCTCTGTTACGCAGCTGAGACTTGGGCCGACACCGTAGCCACGTCAAAAGCTTTAAGGACCATCCACAGAGCGCTAGAGCGTAGTCTTCTGAAGACGACCCAACACAAACAACATCTTGTCGGACTTCGCAGTACGGATATGAGAAGAATGTCCCGTCTTCGTGACCCAGCGGATTACGTTGCGAAAGCGAAGCATCGATGGGCCTGTCACATCATGAGAAGAACAGACGACAGATGGACACTAAGAACATCTGAGTGGATTCCTTCGAAGCAAAACGTCCTCGAGGAAGACCACCGACGAGATGGGCAGACGTGTTCGTGGAACGGATGGACCAGCTGAGAAATCAGCTGGACACGATTTTTGCACCTAGAACTCGTGGACGGAGCCAGACAACAACCAAGAAGATCGTGGATGTCCGAAGCGAGGAACACGGAGAAATGGAAACTTCTGTGCTGGGGCCCGCACGTGAAGCCGGGCCATCTAACAATAAGTATCCAACAAGGGAAGGATACTAGGTCGCAGTGGCGAACCGAAATGATATGCAAAATGGAATCAGCTCATCAAGATGCACATCATTAAATGCGTCTTGATGAGCTGATTCCAGATCTACCTTTTTTATCTGCTAATAGCCCCCCTATAAAAAGCTATGGGCGTTTAAAGATGTGAATTCATTAGGATTTTGGTGCGTAATGCGCTCTGCCATATGGACTATTACCTTTGCTTGGCATACGGCCAAACTGTATAAGAAGAGTCCAAGCGCATGCTGAAAGTTTGGTCAGCGCTCGCTGAAAGAAATTGTTTGGCGAGCGCTTGCAGAAATTCTGTATTACTGCCCGCTGGCAGAGCATGCGACAGCAAAGGAAGTACCGCTTTCTGAAGGCTCGGCCACGCTCCAGAATTTTGCTGACCGCCTGCAGAAATACGCGAGTTTGCGGACCGCCTTCCCCGGCGATTATCTGAGTAGTGTGGCTTCCTTTGAATGCACGAAGACGGCCCAGGCTGCTCCGCATCTCCTACTAATTCTTCCTAATTCTTCCTTGAAATCGTTTACCATGTTGAACAAGCAACTTGAATTTGGATGTCTCTGTAACATAGATGTCTTCCAAAATTGTTTCCGTAGCCTCGCGAAAAGTGTACTTTATGAATTGAGGCAGTCATCAAGAACGAATAAAATAAATAAATGGACGATGCAGCTTCATGTTTTGATGTCTGCAGTTTTGCAGGTTACAGTGATGATAGCAGGAATTGTGTGGATGCTTATGTTATTTATCATGGTGTCTACTACTGCCGACGATTTCTTCTCACCAAATGTTGCATCGATTGTTGCACATTTGAAGATTAGTGAAAGCATAGCAGTAAGTGGACCTTGTTTTATTTTGACTGCCGAAAACGTATTTTCTGAAGGGCGTGACATTCATGGCGTTTGGCAACGGTGCTCCAGACATATTCGGCTCCATTGCTTCAGTTCTCAGCAGTCCAAAACCCAAAGCTGGATTCGCTTTGGGAGAGCTGCTTGGTCAGTATATCACGGTAGTGCGAAGTACAGGGTGTCTCAAAAAGATGTACCTATTGTTTGATTGTTAATAACTCTCTTGTAATGAAGTCTTTCGAGAAGCATTAGGGGTCATTTTGTAGAGCTGGCTTCAACTTAGATTTATGGAGCGGATTACCGACTGCTCTTCATTACTGTAGGATTAGGTAGAAACTTTGAAGAGGGATATGACCCATGAAAGGCCGTCTATTGCCTCAGAAAGGAAACAAAACAACCTGGAAACTTTCACAATGGGCTAACTAGAGTTGCTAATTCTAAATGTGAAGTTCGCAACTTTTCATGATGCTTAATTAAAAAGTTATGCGAAGTAAGGAGTAGCGGCCGTTTTTTCAATGGTCCTAAAAAGTGTGGTTACACCGTTCAGAAAGCTTCGCAATCCTGAACGTAGTTGAATATTGAACTCGGCGTCCATTAAGACCCTATTACACAAGTTTTCACATTTTTTTTGAAAATTTTCAAAAGCAGCTCTTTTCACAGTGACACCATATGCTTGATGTTTCTATCGTCTTCATACAGTAATGAAGAGCGATCACTTCGCTCTACACAGTAAATTTAATTTGAAGCCAGCTCTACAAAATGGTACCTGAAGCTTCTCGAAAGACTTCGTTGCAAGAGTGTTATTGAGAATCAAACAGTAGGCACATCTCTTTGGGACACCCTGTATAATAGAAGTAGTAAATAAATTAAAAGTACATATTCAAAGAAATTGATTATATACAAAGAGCGACCGCATACATACTAGCAGAAAAATACAATGTGGGCACAGTTTGAAATAATTAGCTTAAAAATATGTTTATTAGCCTCAGGTGATTTGAAAATCGGATTTATAGGGGCTGGCATATTTGTCACCTCTATGGTCACGGCCACAATCATTCTCGTCAAGCCGTTCAAGATTGATGTATTTTCAACCATTCGTGATCTCATATTCTATCTCATTGCACTGGCTTGCATAACATTTGTTTTTCTGTACAGCACCAATGTATATATATGGGAACCAGCTGGTAAGTATTTGCATGAAACCTTTGCAGTGATTTCTCATTTATTAATGTTTTTAGGTTATCTGGGCCTTTATGCTATATATATTCTCACTGTAGTAATCGGACACCATTTGCACAAGCGCCGGAGGGTAAACGATGCGTCAGCTCAGTAGAAATACCAGTCAATTCCAATCTTTTAGAAGAAGATGAGAGTGAATAGTACCAAGTCCAGGCCCAGCAACATGGCATCGCGGAATGGGAGTGAGTTCGTCTATTCAAATCACTGACATTTCTCAGTTTTGTTAAAAAAAAGATCATTGCTCTCGTAAAAGTTAAACTCCCTTACATTGTATGATATCCGTACTGCGAGGAATACGCAATACTTGTGATGCTTTCTCTAGTTTTTGTACATTCAACAGGGAACTTGAGTAAAATTGTAACCTCAGGGCGCAATCTACCAGTTTTCCCTTTCGAGATAGAAACAAAAAGCATGTTACAAATAAAGCTTGATTCTCGCGATAGAGCAGTACAATTCTATGTTTACAATCAAATCATCATACTCGCCAAGTACGCAGTTCTTGTGACGACGTCTTTGTCTTTCCATCTCACATACTGAGCATTCACTGTGTTTCTACTTCTATCCTTGAGGAGGGGCTAAGAACTGCATCTGTCTCGAATTATTTACGAGAGAAGCTTATTGACTCGAAGTGGCCTTTAGCAACAAATTTACATCGACTGCGAGGTCTAATCCTTTCCGGCATTATTTTTACATATGGTTTGTTTTGCCTATTACCACGCGCAAATTTTGCAGAAATGGAGCTAAGTTTTACTTCAAAACCAGACAGTCGTATATTCATCACAAAACGCGACTGCCAGAACAACACTATCACAAAAATACATATATACTAATATATCAATTATATCAAAACTCTCTTAGAAGGATGTTCTCGCCTGAGTTAGGTTTTACTCGCCAAAGAGTTTGGATGCTACGACTTGTGCACCTTGTAAGAAACTAGCTTATAAGCATTATAGCTTTCTTTTGTGGAATGGTGCACGAGAGCGTCAAGAAAGACACAGAAGAAGAATGGCTATTAAAAAATAGATCAAATCATAGTAAAAACAAGTTCTATTCGAAGCACCTGTTGCGAGCACTCCGTACGCCAACATTTTATGGTAGCTCATTATTTAGGTACATAATCATATATTCGTTCGTTGTTTAGGAGGTTTGCTATATTTTCGCAGAAATCTTAATAACGATGTTAGTGTGTTTTAAGCTTGGCTAAAGACAAATTGGGTAACCGCAAGAGTAATGGTGATGAAAGGATTGGAGCCCAATTTTTATGTATTAACCCAGTTGCCAGCACTAAACCTTACTATGGGAAAAATGCTACCGTGCTTACATTGTAAGCAGGAGATTCGGAGCAAAAACAACACAAATGGGCTAGAAACTTTAGCAGGCAGGGAACGCTCCTGTTTTGTAGAGAGCATTCCGGGACCACACAGTGTATATACTTTTTTCGAAGACGTCATTTCGAGTTAAAAAGCTTTCATTAGCGTCTGAGTAATTTTAAATGACAGCAAACTAAACCTATCGCATTTGTTTTGCCTCACACTACTTCTGAATTTCATTAGCAGAGATGAGCCATTAAATGTTGTGGGATAATAAGAGAAGAAGAACTTCTGATGCAAACATCAAGTGAACAAAAAGCCTAGCGAACTTTGTGAATTGCAGGTGTGCATCCAGTCATTCCCGAAATACAAGTCATAGCGGACGCAGTAGAAAAGTTCAAGCAGGATCTAGGTAAGGACTATGAGACTATCGCCAATAGGCAGTGCTTGGAATATGAGTGCTGAGCTCCTCAAAGTGAATGCTGACTGGGAGGTCTTACAAGGGAACGATACTTAGTGTCCGCGGCCTCTTAAGATGAAACGTATACCAATGCACTCGTCTTGGAACGCTGATTCCGATTTCTGCTTATTGTTTCTCTAAAAGAAATTATGAAGGATTTCAGCGTCAACGGTCGCCCAAGAGAAATGCGGTCGAGGATGCCTAACTTTCAAAAAGAAGTTTGAACTTGAGCCTAAACCTGCATTAACTTGTCAGGCTATCGCACTAGCCACTACAGTAGAATGTAGCGGGAGTTTTCATTCCGACCATATCTCCTTTGGCGCAAAGATCCTTCGTAACTTTTTCAGATGAACGATTAGCAAAAAAGGAAGTCAGATTCGGAATCAGCGCTCCAAGTCGAATGTAATGGTATGTATCTCATCTCAAAAGGCCACGGACACCGAATATCGTTTCCTTGTTAGTAATTCATTGTCTAAGCGGTGGTCTATATGTTTCATATTAGCTATTAGCAGTGGCGTAGCGGGTGGGGAACGGGGGGGGGGGGGGGGAGTTTTGAAAGTTACTTACATGAGTTATAGAAATGTGCAAGTATAGGTCATTTATAAAATCGTGACGAAGGATTTAGCTGCGGTCTTTGCGCCCACAGGAGCGTAAAAGCTCAAACGAAAAGGCATCACTTCAACTCTCATCTTGGTCACCTCCAGTGTGTAAATATTATCATAGTAAGCAGAAAACCCATTCAAATAAGGATGAAGACCAAGAAAATGCGGTTGTCGGAAGGTGCGTGCGTGATGGCGCGACGGCGTGCGTGTCCCGCGCGGTCGCGCCATCGTCATGATTTTTTAAATGTTCTATACCTTGTTTATACTAGTAAACCTGGGCACGCCACTGACTCTTAGTGTTTGATCTATGTTAGACAGCTTTTTTCTCATCACTTCGAGGACGCACTAATTCGTAGAAGTAGGGTACAAGCAGGACTTTCGAGCTTTTAGGGCTGCATCTCGTGAGGTAGAGCTGGCAAATGACTAGTTTAGGTCTTTTGGTCGGCGCATAGAAACCGATTCGCCCGAACATTTCTAGAAAGGCAACTAAATACTTTCAAGCTAAGATTGTTCCAGATCAGCCTGCTTTTTAGAATATCAGAAATAGTTCAAAGCTATTTTTTTAATTAAAATTTTTTCATTTTTAGATGCGTCTGACCGGACTCTGGCAGAACTGGTAGTAGTTAAAGAGATGGTGAAGAGAAATTCATTAGCAATTAGTGACATACTCAACGTCTTTCCTCCAGATCTTCCTTCTGAGCACGGTTGGAAATGTCAATTCATTCCTAATAATCTAGAAAAAAGTTGCAAGTCACCCACAGATATCAGCTTTCTTTTAGAGGAAGACGAGGAAGAAACCGGATCATCTGAAGAGGAATTTGTGGTTTCGCATAACCTGGTTTTGACTGGACCCGAAGCAAGGAGCAGAGCAACGTCTGTAGGTACGAGTGAAATTCTCTACTAAGATGGGGTTTCTGAAACGCTTATAATGAGCTCTGCATCGTTGCTGATAAGCTGATCCACCCTGTTTCCATCCAAAAATTTTTTAGGGTATAGTCACCGCGTCGCAAACTCGTCATAACAATTAGGGATCCACCGCTGGAACACTATATGATTTATTTACAGCTCCGCCTCCCATCAAAGTTGTGTCAGCAGGCACGGTCTTCAATGATGTCATCAAGCATCTTCACCCTCTGCCTGAAGACTGGAATGACCTTGGAATGCTTGGAAAGACTTTGAGCATAATAAAGGTCTGCTGTCTGTTCGAATTCAATTCATAATATCATCTCAAACTCAACCGGATTTAGGTTCCCGCAATATTTTTGCTGAAGATGACAGTTCCGTTGAACGAATACAGTTGGTCGAAAGCAATGGCAATCATACAGGCTTTATTCGCGCCTCAATGGTTCCTCTTTGCAATACAGAGTCGGTTCTTTACAAACCTCACTATTAGCGAATTAGTTATTGCACACTTCCCCTTTACCGTCATAGAGAATAGCATCATTCAATTGCTTCTGCATGCCACTTAGCTTCCTCGAAGTTACAAAAAACCCATAAAAACAAAACAAGTTGAAAACGAGATAATCCATTCCCACTCTTGGGCTGATCGTTTTCACCTCTTGTGTGCAGGGCCTAGCACGAGGGTGGCAAATGGACATCGATAAAACGATTTCGCCTTTGCCTCTATAAATTCTCTCGACTTTCCCTTGATCCCGTGCTGCACGAGCTGTTCGATTGGAGCGCGCTTTTCTTCTTAAAAAGACCGGCGTCGTTGCTAATTTGGAAACAAACAAAAACAATCTATCAAAAAGGAGAGGAAAAAGTAAAGTAGTAAAGTAGTAAAGTAAAAATGTTACTTTATATGAAACTTTAGGCGTAGAACAGATTTATGTAAAAATTTCGAAAAACTTATGTGAATTGGAAGTTTTGCTCTCAGGTGAGCATCAGGTGGGCAGTTGCCCACCTAATTTGGAAAAAGTTGGGCACGCTCTTCATTCACACAATTTTTTCTTAATTTTTCATAACTTGTTCCTTGGTCCTACTCGCGTACAATTACCAAATTTCGCGCGATCTCGTCATTCCTGCGTTGCAAAAGAGCCATTTTTCCATTTTTTGGTAGCTGGAAACTTTCAGGAAAAAGCTTGCCACAATCTTCGGTCATATAATCCTCAATGAAATTTCTCTCATATAATCCTCAATGAAATTTCTCAGCTGACTCCTGCAGGCCCGTGTTCATGTACGTACCAAGTTCCCATGCCGTCATCTGTGCGCTGCAAACGAGCCTTCTTCACATTTTCAATCACCAGTTATGCAAAGTTTTTGGAAAAAATGCTTATTACACCTTCCATTCACATAAGTTTTTGATAATTTTGTTTGATTTAATTTTTTTGTTTCCGCTAGCCTCTCTTCGTTCGCTTACGAAATTTAGTGCTATCGTTACGCATACATTGAGAACTAGTCATGTACTCAGACAATTATGGCGAGCACCCGCCGGCCACGCACGGGCGACGCCACGTCCATCCCGAGCGCGCGCCGATAAGTGCCCTGTAAGCGCCCGACAATGCCCGTGACTTGATAAGCACCCGAACAACGGCAGCGGGTGGTGGCCGGGTAAGCTCCCGATGAATGCACAATATGCACCCACGGGTGCTCCTATACCCCCGATGAAGTTTATGAATATTATTTCTAAATTTCAAAATTTATACGGACACCTGTTCATATATTCTTTGGTCTTGCATGACATTAACGATTATTATACGAAACTTTTCGACAGCCCACCCGGTCCCAGGAGAAAGTAGTCCCGTAGAGCTTATCCAAGACACCGTTTATGAGCAGGAACTTGACGCTGCTTGACTTTTGCTAAACGACGCGAATGTTGAGGGTAGCCCCATCATAGCGGCGTATCTCACGCGAGGTAGCGTTCTCTCCTACAGCATGCATTAATGTGGGGTCCGGCAAGATCCGGGGCTCGCCGGAGAGATATTGTCGGGCGGTCGCCTAAAGGGCCGCAGCTTGCCCGAAAACTAAATATGCAGTGTGCCCAATAAGGCCCGAGGCTCGCCCGAGTGTTTTTTCTTGGGCCGCGGATGTTCCGATAAAACTTTGGAGGCCCGCGACCTGTCCCTAGCGATAACATTGAGCCGCGGGTGGCCAAGAAAAAATCTAAGGCCGCGGATGGCCAGTCCAAGAATTTAACGCCCGTGCACCGCCGAAAGGTACCGTTAGGAGCCGCGGGTGCTCGCAATAATTGTCTGACAAGGGAAAAGTCAGAAATCGCAGTGGCCGTTTGAGATGGGATGGGTAGTGTGACCGTCACTCGGAAGGGCATTTCCAAAACCACCCTCGCTAGCTGCAGAACAACTCTGGGAGGGGGGCTACGGGCGTTTTTCCGCGCAAGACCCAGCCCGCCTTGCCCGTATATGACTGCCACCCTCAGTAAGCCGTAGCGGTGTGGCGCAGTGGCAAGTGTGCTGACTACCGTGAGGATTCTTGGAGGTTCGAATCCTCTATTAGACGACTCTTTTGCAATTTACATACCAATTCCTAAAATGTGTGCATTAGTGACCAAAACGTGTTTTACCCCTTTATTGGTGCTCAAAACTAGAAAAATGTTTTTATTGCGATGACCTTCTGCACGCGTGGTGAAGCATTCAATTAGATAAAACTTTATTGTCAGATTTAACGTACGAGACAATACAGTGGAAAAAGCGAGAAAAATGCGTTCTTAACCTGTAGTAGGATTCCTGTCATATATATGATATTCTAGAATAAAATGCCTGAAGCAAAAAAGTTGTTAACGATAAGAGCATCTTAAGAAGGCAACCTCGGTGCAATTTTCATCACAGTTTCTATCATGTTTGAAGAGAAGCAGTATTGTCGAGGTGCAAAACAAGTTTTGGTCACTAATGTACACATTTTAGGAGTTTGTGTATAAATTGCAAAAAGTTACCCAACAGAGGGTTCTAACCTCCAAACATCCTCACGGTAGTCACACCTGCCTGAGGGTGGCAGTCGTTACGGGGAAGGCGCATTGGGTCTCGCGCGGAAAGACGCCCGTAGCCCCCCTCCCAGAGTTGTTCTGCAGCTAGCGAGGGGGTTTTCGAAATGCCCTTCCGAGTGACGTGTCACACCACCCATCCCATCTCAAACGGCCATTGCGATTTCTGACACTTCCCTTGTGAGTATGTTGTTATAGGGGCCTGCAGGATCGCGAGAGTCGGACGTGCGTACGGCCATTGCGCCGCGCACGTCCGATGTCACTAAGGCAAGTGCCAGACTTATCCGCTTCAGCCGTTCGTTCCGTTCATAGGTCAAATCACTACACTGTCCAACAGCAAAGGTGGTGAACCGAATAAACCTGTTCAACAGGATAAGTCTGGCACTTACCTGGGCCGTCGCACGCAGTTCTGACGTGCGCGGCGCAATGGCCGTACGCACGTCCGACTCTCGCGATCCTGCAGGCCCCTATACAAAGGACATCGTTTAAGCGACGTCTCTGCGGCGCGCGGCGTGACGCGCGCGAACTCCGCTGTGCTTTGATGCTTATAAAAATTACTTCCCAAAGATTCATGTGTATAAGGTGGAAAGCATGACTCGACCCTCTTTTTGCTTGCAAATGGAATTTTTCCAGGGGCTCCGCCTCGTTCCCCGCAAAAACGACATCCCCTTTGCTTTTTTCACCCGAAACGATTTTCAGCTTGTCATTTGCCTCCTCGTGCCGGGCCCTGTTTTGTCCTGAACATTTAGAGATTTGAATTTTATCCTCTCCGCCTACCCTCAAGTCTTTTTACTACCCCTTACCATGAACATATCAAACAATAACGTACTGCATTGCAAGTTGCTTTTTTACTTCTGAGAACTAATGAACAATGATCCAAGAGTGATCTCCAGCCTTCGACCATCTCTTTTTCGAAGATTTTTCCCCTTTAAAGTAATAGAAACGTCGCAAGGTTCTGCTAATCATCTAATCATATAATCTAAATACTTCTGATAGGAGCAAGATTTTTTGAGATCTTGATGCATTTGATAAACTCTGAGTATTGCGACCTGTGCTTCATCGCAACTTTCATTAGTTTGATAGATACATCACCTGTCCTAATCGAAAATTTTTAGCACTGTTAGGGGGGGGGGGGCACTTGGATATCTTTGTTGACAAAGTCTGCCCGCATACTTTGGTCCGAATCGAGTAAAAATCCTATCATATGAATAAAACAGTCGATTATTCGCATTCAAAATGCAATGTTTTCCATTTTCGAATAGAATTCGAAAGCTCAAATTATTGGAAATCGAAATTTCGAACAAGTATTATTGTAATGTTTTATTGCATCGAGATTTCAAACAAGTATTAATCGAGTGTCTTACTGTTACAATGCACTAAACTTTAACAATTCCGGTTCGAGTTTAGTGCAAACCCACATCGACCAGCCTGGTATGTCAGCAAGTTTTTTGTTTTAGATATTCGAAGAAATTATGCGAATGTCTGCATACAATCTCACCGAATATGTAGCCATTTGAATAGATCATTCGGTTATCTAATCAACAATGTTCGAATATCGACACTTATTTATTCAAGGTTTTTTATATTCGAAAATTTCGATTTGGGTTCAACCAATGTTTTCGATTTTCGAATTTATTCGATATTCCAAATGAAAAATGTCTAATCCCGGAAGCATACCGGCGTTCCTATAGACTTATCAGAACATATGAATGTACTCGAAAAGCGGTCAGCGTTTATAAGACAGACAAGAATCCAAGGGCTTTGGTTCAAAAAGCTATCAAAAATGTGTTTTCATGCAGAAGGTAGTTGCTCAAATCGTCAGAGTGGGCAATGGAGAAACGTTACCCACATCAATCATAATTTTCAGTGCAGACATGGCAACCTTTTGATGGCAGCCCAGGTTTATATGCTTATTCATTGTTATTATCAGTCATAATCATTGTTTTACTGGCAATTTTTACCTCAATCGACCATCAGCCGAAATACTACAAAGTGAGCATCATCTTATTCTTTAAGAAAAAGAGATGCATCTATTTATAAAGGAATTCGCCTCATACCTCGGGTTCCTGATGTCAATTTCATGGATCTATTTCATATCTTCAGAAGTTGTCAATGTAGTCACGATGATTGGCGTAGTGTCCAGAATCTCGCATGAGGTGGGTTTCGTTCAATATGACGGCTAATGTTTTTAAGGCAACATCTAAAATTGCATAGCGAAAATTTTTGAAAGCCAAAAAATTGTGGAAGCGACTTTACTAGAAAATGTCAATTTTTTCCAGATTTCAAAATACTACGATATTTTGCTTTATAAGCATTACTTAAAGGCAGTGTCCGGGCAGAAACTCGATCTCTAGAAAATCTACTTACCAGGGGTTATCCGAGTCCGAAATTCCACATTAGAAGGCGCGAAAGCGGCGAGAACATACGTTTTTCGAAGCCGCACAATTTGAAATTCGACGCTTCCCACAAGGCAGAGACGCAGAGTCGCTGCGGGACCCTACATTTTAACTGTGGCAACATGCGTACTCTGCCGCTTAGCAGGAAATCGGACAGCTCGGAGGGCCCCGCCCAAGGCGTAAGTTCCCCCACTTTCCGGTCGTTTTCCTCGCTTTAGGTAGAGCGTTATGACGTCGCACTTGCGCGATGTTGTGTCTGAGGGGGGGGGGGGCGTGGCATGGCATTGAAATCCCAAAGCCCCCATTTTGCCCGGACACTGCCTTTAAGGTCGCAGAATTTTGGAAGACTAACGCCTCCGTCTACAAAAAAAATCATGGGGCGGCCAACATTAAATAATCATGCAATTAAAAAGTGGTCACGTTAATATGCGACGGATTAAGAGAAATAACTCTTTCTCCTTAACCTTTTGTACTCTGATGTTCAATCATGGCAGGAAGTTAATCAATGGATTAACCTATGCATAACCATCCGCGTTGTTCTCATCCTCTTATATAGTTCTTTTAAATCAGCAGGGATTAGAAGTAAGAGAGTGTGTTAATCATTTTGAAATTAGCACTTCAATACAGGTTAGCTAAGGTGAGGTTAGTAATAACCGAGGTACGCATGGTTTTGCCCATTCGCCTTGGCCCGCACTTTCATATTACTGGTGATAAAATTGAAAAGTAATGTGGAAATAATCATCTCTGGTTATGGTTATGGTTTCAGTTTAACCCCCCCCCCCCCTTATGCTCCTTATCCTGAAGACTTTCCATTTGACAATTGTAAAACTATGATTGTGATGGAGATGCATTACCATCTGGCACTTTTCACTAATACAGATCACCTCAGTAAAAATAGTCAGTTTTGGATGCTACAGTTCTATTTCATTAATTTTTATTATTATTTTCTGATGACTATTACCTAGACTTTGACACGCACTTTTTGCGCAATAAAATAAAGCAAATAAAAAGTTCCGTCATATGCAACCGAAAAGCAAAAGTTTGGAAGTCTTAATGAGAAAGTGCGGTAATTATACGAATACCCCATGTTTTGGGACTGTTTGGAAGAGATTAAAAAAGGTAGCACAGCTCCTTTTTCACTCAAACTGCAATCATTCGAGTCGATCTGTATAGTTACAGTAAAAAAAGTCTGGGATATTTGCTATATTGTACCCAGTGCAGTTTAAAAAAAGGGAGCATTACTTCTGCTAAAGGCTCAAAGTGCTTCTGGAGTCTGCTTCAAAGACGTCTATTTTTTTCTTTTGCTTAAGCACTCTCGTTAGCTTCCATCGATGCTAAGAAATAAACTGAACTTTTTCGACAGATATCTTTGACTTCGGAAATTCCCTGTGTACGAGTCGCGTTTTGCCAACCAATCTCCAACCTTAGTCTAGGGTAAGCACGAAAATCAACACCGATCTTCATTCATGTCCGTGTGCTCATGCCGTTTTCGGCTATGCTCTTTCACGTGATACCAACGATTTTATAAATTTGTTCCAAAAAGTTTTGAGTCTCCCAAATATGGGTGTTCGTATGTTTTTAAGCCCGCATTTTATAATGCTTAAAATACAAGAATTAAGATATGTATATACAGTATTTTCTGCGTATTTTGTCACTCCAAACGCGCATTAGAAACTTTGTTTTCCTGCCTTCCGAAAATGCGAAAATTAAACGACTTCGTAATAGTAATTTCTGCGCCCAGCTACAAGCTGCTGTGAAGTGGTTCTTTTAGGTGTAAGAGGTTGAGGCTGGGTGGAACTTTACAAGATTTAAACATTGCAAGTGTACATTCATTCTATCGAACAGTGCTTTTTTGTCTATTAATTCTAATCAGCTCAAAGGCTAAGGAAAATACTTTCGCTCTAGAATACAATAATCGGATCTGATGGCGAGTCATATGACTCAGGACTTAAGCAAAACTTTTGGCATATCTTTTTTTGCTTAAGAATTTGGTACTTGTTGACTGGGCAGCGTGACATTTTACTTAGCGCTCATAAATTATTCCATAGTTCATTTGCTTGTAATCGCTATCTTCTAACATGATGGCGTCAGAAGCGGCAAATTTATCGCCAGATTAGGCTGTATTTCGTCACAAAGTTCTGATAGGAATGCGCTTGGGAAAGCCTCTTACCTAAAAGAGCAAGCTACATTCTTGATTTGCAGAAGGTTAGATAAGTGACAAGAACATTTGGATGCGGGAAAGTTCCTTAAGGTGGCAAAAAAATTTGAGACAGCCTTGGCCAGGCAACATGTTGGGCGGACATAGATCAATGCATATAAAAGAGTCCATTTGACCTATAATTTGTATGTGTAAAGGCATATGCGAGTGGTACTCACGGTTGTGTACTCATTAAAGAGTTATTAAAAGACTTTTGGACAAAACAGACTTCTGGGAAAGATTATTTGCCTGAGTGCATCTATTGACGCCAAGGAAGCGAAGAACAGAGAAAGAAGATTTAGAAGCTTGCATATTGTAAGCACAAAATTATGTAGTACCACCATGCTGTGCAATACAAAGATACAAGCGCAAATGGCCACAGGGACATTTACTGTTGTAGGACTCGTGGGCTCTCGATGATAATTGTTAAATCGCTAGACTGTAGCAAGCCTCTGAGCTGTACTCAAACTTTCTCAAGCCTTTCCATGTAAGGATTCTGCTTCAGGTTCTGGGATTAACCATTCTGGCTTGGAGCAACAGTATCGGCGATTTGATCGCGGATATCTCCGTAGTGAAGCAAGGTTATCCCCGCATGGCAATGGCTGCTGCAATCGGTGGACCTCTCTTCAGTGAGTCACTTTCAAAACAAATATGTTGTACCACAAAAACTTGCGCTTTCTAGACCTTCTGATCGGTTTTGGTCTGCCTTTTCTCATAGCAATAGCTGGTGGACGCACAGTCACGGTAAGTAGTATTCAACACAATGAACCTGAGGGCGCAGCTCATGCGATTTTAGTCGCTGCACTAATAGCAAAATTCTAATTGTTTATCACTCATAAGAGTAATTTGAATGTACTAAAGACAAAAGTGTTGAATGTTCGACAACTTTTTAAGTGATCATATTTCAGATAGAGCTAAACCCCACCTACAGGATATTATTACTATTTTTGGGTATATCGTTGACAACGACACTTATTGGTAAGATCCCAAAAATAGCATTCTCCATTTACCCATCCACAGATGAATTTTTAGCTTGTTTCGTGCAAAGATTTTATCTACGACGACCACACGCTTATATCTTGATATTCGTGTACCTTGCATTCCTCACAATGGTAGTTCTTAGCGGGACGCATCTTCTCGTTTGGAACTGATTCTGTCACCTGATTTTTTTATGCTGTCAAGAGTATGGTGATCTATGTACAGAATTTAAAATGATGAATGACTTGTGCGGGTATATTTTCAATCATGCTATGTGTAGGAACCATAAATCTTACTCTGTTAAATGCGTAACGTCAGCTTGATCTTGCTTTTTTAGCGTTCAACAGTCGATGAGAAACAAGAGAACTATTGCTATTTTTTGTATACTTACGGCCCTGTGGATCGCTGAGAAAGGAGACACATTATTAGTCGTCCAGTTGCAACTACAAAAATACCTTTTATACCTCTTTTATACCGCGCATGTACAAGGGTACGTATTTGTCGCAAATGACCGCAGGGGCCGCCCTTTTTTGGCGCTATATAGTCCTCTACCCGCTGCCCACACACCGATATCTATAAGTTAAAAAAAAAATTATAAAACGATATGGGCTGCCGATGCTTCAACAAGGGAAGGATACTTGGTCGAAGTGGCGTTTCCATATGGAATGTATATCTATCTTATAGTGCATAAAACGCTGATTCCAAATCTGCTTTCATTATCTGCGAAGCGCTTTTGGGAGAGAAGTTCTGGAAATTTTTTGAGGTACAAATGCAAAGATTTGGCTAACGTCAGGTGTTGAGATCTTTTCGGCACCTGGAAGGAGTTGACTGACATGAGTTTATTAGATTGAAGATTTAATTACGTAAAAGACCCTGGTAGTACTCATTGCCCTGTTTGAGCTCACAGATCAAAGTTCTGAATGCTTTATTGTAGCCGCATTTTGAATTTTTGCATCGAAAATTTTCATGACTCCCCTCCCAGAAGCGCTTTGCAGATAAGGAAAGCAGATGTGGGAACAGTGTTGTAGGCTTTATAAGACAGTATGCTTTTCATGTGGAAACGCCACTTCGACCAAGTATCCTTCCCTTTTAAAAACTATTCTACTAGTCTCCTACAAACCAACATTTTGAAAACTCCCCTATGGTCGCCTACAGAGTAGTTTTTTGAGAAGGGGCTGCCTTTTGAGCCCCTACAAACAATGTTTTGGAGTAATAAGTGAACCAGTAATAAAGGTTGCTATGTATGTTGCATCCGCGCGCTTCGGCACCGCACCGCGGTTGCACTTTATCTAATGTTTTTTGAATTGGCGTTACGATTCTTTATATATCAGATGTGTGATACGGCCCTACAACCCAGTATTTCTGAGAGGCTTATGGGCTGCTCATAGATGACGTTTGAGAAAAACTGCCTATGGCCCGCCTGCAGACCGTTACTTGATTATCAGAAACGGTGGCCCGCTTACAGAACACCATATTGAGGAAGCCTGCCCCGTGGGTTGCTTATATATCGACATTTTTCAAGAGGATATTCTTTCAAGAAACTGCCTCATGAGCTTCTTACGCATCAATTTTTTGAGAAAAGTTGCTCCATGGGCTGCTCATAGACCGTTCTTCGAGAAAGGATTGTTCTGTTCCCTACCGCTTGAAGACCAATAATCCAAGAAACAATCGCCTTGCGTTTCCCCTATAAACGAATATTTTCATAGGTGGGCACTGTCACATAGCGCTATTTTCACAAGCGCATAAAATCAAAGCTCATCGATATAAGTAGTTTGAGACTTTAAGCAGCACAGCCACAGTCAAATAAGTGAGCCAACCCAAGAAATCTGCTTAGCAATGGGTGAAGGAATTCTCACCAAATCCACGATAAGCTGGTGCAGCGCTTTAAAACAAAGGATTAGTATTAGATGTTAAAAAACATATTATTTACTCCCTTATCAAAGTAATCAACCGGATCACTCCTGACAGTTATTATCTGACAGAGCTTTTGAGCTCTAATTACACATATGCAATCTACCTCGACCTTTCCCATTTAGAAAAATCATGAGCCAAAATATGATTTTTAGCCTCGAAAATCCGCGTCACATCGCACTTTTTCAAATAAAGTGCTTGTTTTATACGAAGCAATGAGGAATTTTTACACATTCAAGTAATCATTAGAAAGAGCTTAAAAAGCTCTTTTGATTGATTTGTTATATATTTAGGTAGAAACTTTGGGGTACAGCAACACAAATCTTATGGCATTTGAAAGAAGTGTATCTGACTTTTTCGAAGCGCCGCTCGAAGAATTATAGGCGGGATGCTGCAAGGTGCTGGCAGGATAACCTGCGAAGGTTGCTTTATACAGAAGCGTTCAAATAACTGGCTGCTTACAGTTAACAAAAAAGAGACACCAGAAATGTTCAAAATAAATAAAGGTGCACTATTACTTTTGGTCACCCTGTGGAAATCTAACCCGTGATCTAATTCAATCCCGTTAAAAATGATAGATACTCAAGTGAACAAGAAACATAAAGCCTTAGCCACTTCAAACAACAATGAATATTCTGCTCTGTTGGTTGGCACGCAAAGTCAGTTCGATGGTGAGATTTCTCACATTTTGTGCATGGAAGAATGGGCGTTCATCGCTTCTTCAAGCGCTACAAATAGTCGTCAATGTTGAATCCTAGTGTGTAGCCATCTAACTCCAAATTCACTAATTTTCAACATCTAGTCTTCTTAGATGTTTTGCATCACATGAAACATTGCGTTATGAACACATGGCTCTTTCTCCACGTCTAGCAGATTATGACTGCAAAGCTGATTATACTGTTACACCTAACTCTTTGAGACTTTTGGATAAAGAAACTTCTACGTCTTTTGGCACATACACAGTCGTGTCACTTTGAGACTGTTGCACATGTTCTCTAACAAGCTCAAAATTGCCTTCTCTCTTGTAATAAGCTCTTCAGTGTTGTTGAGCCAAGTAGGTTTGTTATATATATTCTATTGTGCCTGACATTTCGGCATTCTCGCGCTCAAATTTTGAATTTCACATTGCAAACCTCTCCTCCTCACTTGCTTCGTATTCGTGCGAACGACGCTTCCAAGGCTTTGCTTGTAGCGGTTTTGCTTTCATGGGTCGGAATAGTGCACCTAATATTAAATTCGTTACAATCGTGGTCTGCGGCTTTATGTTTCCCAAGTGGAGTCGTGCTTCATTGTTTCTACTAGCTAAGTGCTCGCTCACACGGATCGAAAGCGGCCGATCAGTTTCTCCAATATACATCGCATGGCATGCTAGGCATTCTATTTCGCAACAGTTCCGAACTTAGCACAAATTAGCACATTTTTCGAGTTTCCTCTGGGGCATATACTCAGTTTTACGTGATGCAAACTGCATCGTAAACTCTGTTACTATCAGCTGTCGTTTGTTGTTGTTAAGCGGTATACTAACGAGTACAATATCTTGATCTAGCCAAGCTTGAATCACGACTGCAAACGTTTCCACTCTAATTTGAGTATTAAATAGTTCGTGACGAGGTGAGCACAATACATAATTAGACGGTTAACTAAACTGTGCATCCGTTCCTCACGAAAGACTTCAAGACAATTTCAGACACAGTGAACTGAAAGCGGTTTATGATCATATGAGCATGTGTGAAACAGTGTATCCAAGAACAGTGCCTGTGACACAATGAAATCTAATAATTATCAAGCACTGTGCGTTATTTACGTTTTGGGAGTTCACTATCAAACGAACATTTCAAGCAAGACTCTTTTTTGCTTAACCTTGCAAAACGACGCAAGCATTCATGTATAGCTGCAAATTGAAAGTCTTAGATATCTACATTTCCTGACCTACTGCAGTTGAAAAAACGTAACTTTCCTCTGGTGGCTCAGATTGCTTCTGAACCTTTTCAAAAATTGTAACCTTTTTTCAGTTTGCACGAGGCGTACAACAACCTTTTTTGTCACATAATTATGTAAGATAATGCTTGAAAAATCTCAACATCGTTTTCTAGGCTGATATTAAACTTACTACTAGATGGCATTTTTGAGCCTCAACATTAGTCTGTGCTATCCGAAACGTTCTGATGAGGTAAACACATTGTGTGCATGATGATTTAGATGTTTATGTATAAGAGCTTGCAAAAGCTGTCACAAAGATATTTTTGGGACTTTGTAGTTGAAAAGCAGGTGGAGGTGTGTTCTCATAGCCGAAAGTAGCTCTACGTTATACGTTAAAGGATATTAGCTGGTGTGCCCGCTTAACACTTCTAATTGAAAGTTAATTTAGATCTTGCCAGGTTATTCTTTATTTACACTTTTACTTATGAAATGTTTGTGATTAATTTAAGACATTATCACAAAATGACGGGTTTTTTGAAAGCAATTTGTGATAATCTCTTGAAAAAGTTAATTTTTACCAATGGGATACAAATGACGCGGTTGGATGAGCGGATTGTCTATTGAGTCAGATTCTTGGATTTTCAGTGCAATAAATCTTGCTCATCGTCTTCGCTGTAAGTTGCTCTTCCGATAGATGATCTTTTCAGCGGCATTGGGATGCTGTGAAAATACACGCTTATCTAAGCAATGCTTGGGTCAAGTAGGATAATCATTTGCATGCGTGGAAAAGAACGTATTTCCTTTTTCTCCTATATGTCTATCATCTACTAATCAAACCAACAAGAGCAAATTGTGTACTTTATAATGATGTCTTAGATAGATACCAGTGTTTCTGTTGCATAGATAGAAGCGTAGAAGAAGATTACTCGCATTTTGGATTTTCTGTGTAGGGTTATAAAGAATCAGAAAATCGGCAACAAAAATCGGAGCGGTCGATATTGTAGGTTCTGTTACCTGCTCTTTCTAACTGAAGTTTGTGCTGACCGAACGCCTCTACCAAATGTTATGATTTACGAGAGAAATGCCAAAATAAATCAAAATTGCCTTTTTGTATTGCTTGCTCGAAAATCATAACTCTTCATAGAAATGTTCAATCAGCGCAAACTTTGCACATTTAAATTTTGTTGCAATTTGTTGCACTCCGATTTTTGTTGCAATTCTCCGATTTTTTGTGACCCTACACAGAATATTTAAAATTTGAGTAGTTTTCTTCTATCGCTTCTATCTATGCAACAGATAAACATTGGTAACTAGCTTTCTACAAAAACAAACAAAATTGTAGCTGATTTGACTGAGCGAACTTCCAGGGTTGGTGACGCTTCTTTATTCGCTAAAGTCCGGAGATTTCGCCTTTGTCAGAGCCTGGAAACCGAAATCATGTCATTTTACT